TGATGGGATTGTGAATAGGTCATATTGACTATGGCATCTACAGGGTTGCATTTCATTAATTTTGTTTCTTTCAGAGGTTGAAGAAGTTCAAAGAGTAGCTAAGAGACTCAGATGCTAGTAAATAATACTACAACTAGCATTAATTGGGTGGTTACTTTATGTGAGACACCTTGCTAAGTGTTTTACTTGTATTATTTTATTTAATCCTCACAATGACCCAATGAAGTATGCCCAATTATTGCATTTTACACACGGAAAACCGAGGCTTACAGAGGTTTAATGACTTGCATAACAGAAGTTTTTTTCCCCAAGTGAATTCACTAGTAATTACTTAGATTTGCGGACTTTTTTCACGGTGTTTCAAGTCCCTTTAGAACACTTTATAATTTAGTCAAATTGACTCTAATGTTTGATGATGGTTGATCAGGCCACGTACCCTTTGATTTTTCTCACAGAAACATACAGATTGCTAGTCTGTGGCACAGCTGAGATTTGAACCTGTGTATGTCTTTCCAATACATATGCTAGGTGGTCTCCCATTACTAAAACACAAATCATAATTAGGTGGAAGACACTGTGGTGGTTTCTCAAAAAATTAAACAATAATTACCATATGATCCAGCAATTCCACTTCTAAGTATATACCTAAAAGAACTGACAACAGAGACTGAAACAGATATTTGTACGCCCATGTTCATAGCAACATTATTCACAATAATCAAAAGGTAGAAACAACCAAACATCCATGGATAGATGAAAGTAGAAACAAAAGGTGGTATATACATAAGGTGGAATATTATTCAGCCTTAAAAAGGAATGGAAATCTGATACATGCTACAATATGGATAAACTTTGAAAACATTATGCTAAGTGAAATAAGCCAGCCACAAAAGGGCAAATAGTACATCATTTTACTTACATAAGGTACCTAGAATAATCAATTCCATTGAGATGTAAAGTAGAACGGTGGTTGCCAGGGGCAAGGGGGAGGAGGGAACAGGAAGGTGTTATTTTTTGTGTGTGTGTGAGGAAGATCAGCCCTGAGCTAACATCCGATGCCAATCCTCCTCTATTTTTTTTTTTTTGGTGAGGATTATCAGCCCTGAGTTAACATCTATGCCCATCTGCCTCCACTCTATATGGGCCGCTGCCACAGCATGGCTTGACAAGCGGTGCGTCGGTGCACACCCAGGATCCAAACCAGTGCACCTCAAGCTGCCGCAGCGGAGCGCGCACACTTAACCGCTTGCACCACCGGGCCGGCCCCAGCGAAATTATTATTAAATACAGTTTCAGTTTGGGAAGACGAAAAAGTTCTGGAGATGGATGGTGGTGATAGTTGCCCCAAAATGAATGTACTTAATGCCACTGAACTATACACTTAAAAATGGTTAAAATGGTATATTTTCTTATATGTATTTTACCACATAAATTAATTAATTTTGTAATTAATAAAAAAGCAATTAGGATTTGGTTTCCACTAAAATGTAAAAGCTAAAAGCACAAACAAAACAATGGCAGAATTTGCAATCTATTTTGTAAAAGATGACTTAGTAATTAAATGAGCAAATCTTACTGTGTTCGACAGCACTGTAAACCTTATACCTTGTTTTCACTAAAAATCAACATAAGTAACTAATAGAATGATTCTTTCAAGATCAGATACCAGAAGGAACAACATGAAATACAGTGTCAGGATGAATTCTAGCAGGAATAGCTTATCTTAAGGGACAGTCAATAATATTTTATCTTTATCATCTTCAAAGCGAACCAAAACATTTTTCCATGAGAAAAAAAATCTTGAAATATTACTTGGGAAAATTGGTTCAAATTTACTTCCCAAATCCATATATTGAGAATAGTAAACACTTTGAAGGAAATATTAGATACTTTTTATCACACATTGGAATGATTTTCAGCAATGTTTTTAAAATAATTAAATTGGCTCATTTAAGTGCCCTAGATTCTAGCTCGGTTTGATTATTTATACAAAACTAAGGAGATCAAAAATGATATAGGCATTCACATTCTTTGATTAGTCAGTGCTTTTTTGTTCTGGTTGTTTCTCTTGGTCAGAAGCTTCACAGCAATCAATTCAAATTTTACCTCGTGCTCCATCCAGAGCTATGAAAGGAGCCAAATCAACTTCACAGTATTAACTTATATAAAACAAAAGGAAATTCCCCAGAATGGCATACTTTTCCTTCCAAAAACTCAATAGTCTTGTCAATAAACAAGTTAATATGGCAATTAAATATAGTCCCTTTTAATAAAATACAAACTCATACTCATCAGAACGTTATGATATAAACAACTATTCATTCTCAATTTTGTCATTATTTGGACTTTGGACTTGCTTTTTCCTGTGCTTGAACTATTTTTCTCATGTCATTGCATGAGTGGCTTCTCATCTTTCAGGCTTCAGCTCAAATGTCACCTGAGAAAGGCCAAGCCTGACCACACCCTATCTAACATGGTCTCTGCCATCACCTTGTCACTCTCCATGAGACCACACATGGTCATTTCCTTGGTGCACTTGAACACTATCTGAAGTTATCTGGTTTGTGTATTTGTTTGTTTATTGTTTGCCTTCCACCATTGGAACATGGGGTCCAAGGGCAGGGCAAGGGCCATCTTGTTTCCTACTCTATTCCTCATGTCTAGCAGTGTGACAGGCTCAGAGTAGGCGGATTTGCCCTTCTACTTCTGCCTTGCAGTTGTGTGTGTGGACGGACTCAGAGCCTTGCCCCCTGGGAAGCACAGACAAACTGCTATGCTCAGATCTTCTCTTTATGGGCACTGCAGTAGACTCATGTCATTGGGCTGGGGGGCTGGACAACAAAAAGGTGGTCATCTACAGGGTGTTAAGAAAGACCTGCTTGCTTCTTAAGCCTAACTCTACCACAACCTAGTTTTTCCAGATTCTCTTAAAGGTATAGTACTTAAAAAGTGGTACCTTATATTCCATTTGCCACAATCACTTGGGTTTGTAGATTTCTTGGGCACCACATGAGATGAAAGGCTGGTTGAATTAAGGAAGATTTAGACATTTCTGTATTTTCGTATTATAATGCTATCCTAATACCTTAAAATGACACATATCCTAGCAAGTTACAAGCATGAAGCTGGGCTCTCTTTCCTACTCTGTTCTCTGAGGACCAGCCTCATGCCTAATATTAGCTCTGAATCCATAAGGAGCACAGTGAACCAAACAAGTGAAATCCAAGCCTACTTGTCCTCCCATTTTAGAGATGGAAAAATCAAGTAACATCACTGGTCTCTAGATTCTTGCCTTTACTACTTGATGAAGCAAAGCAAGGCAACAGAAACAAGAGAGGAAAAAAAGTTTTCTTAAGACTGTTTTCTAACTATATAATTTCAGGGTTCCTATGCAATTTTTGTATAGGTAGTAATGATGTGCCTCTAAATTGATAGTGAATAGCTGGGAACAAGGCACCCTGATCAGTCAGATATTTTGTGTTTAAGGATCCTTCTAAGGACACAAAAACTAAGATAGCAGGCTTCTAGTTGTTCCCCCAACCATGGCAAACAGCTAATTCTACCCGTTTTTTGTAACAAAACAGAACTCCTTATTGTTAGAAGGTTCATGGCCACACAAGATAAAAAACTAATTAAATTTCGCAGTCTCCCTTGTAACCAGGTATGTGCAGGTGAATGAAAGTGACCAGCCAGATCAGATGCTTAAAGGAGTAGGCACCGCCTTCCCTTCTCGTCCTCCTCCCCCTGGCTGGAATTTGGCAGTGGTGGTGAGCCACTCTGAGGTACGAGGGTGAGAGTAACACCCCAGGGATGGGAAGAGAAGTAAAGAAGCGAGCCTGTTGGAACCAGAGTCCCTGACCCTTTGGAGCACACATCGCCTAGGTTACTTATGCCTAGACTGTTACACGAGAAAGAAAAACCTGTCCATCTTGATTAAGCTACCGTTATTTGTAGTTTCTGTCTCAGCAAACTTACATTCTAACACAATCAACTTTCTTTGATGATTTAGATGCTGCTTCATAATTTTTGCAAAGTGGCTTTAGGGTCTCAAATGACAAACTTTTTGAGTTGAGAAAGACCTTCAAGTTAATCCTATCCCCTCACTTTATTGATGAGGAATTTGAAGATAGAGTAAATAAACTTCTCAAACCTCACAGGTAGCTGGTAGTAGGACTGGTGCTCTGACCTCCTCAATTTCAGTTCTTCATTCTTTTCCTTTATGGTCCAATTAGCAGAATTCTCTGGAAATGACTCTGAGGGCTCCCTCAGGGAGGCCTGGACAACTTACTAGCTGGGACCCAGGGCCTCCTTTTTCCCAGACAACCTATAAACAGCTGCCACACTGAATATACTGCCAAGGCTGCTCACACTTGCACTACAGGAAGGAAGAGTGACATGGAGGCCCATGGCTGGTTCTGGTATGGCTCATTGTGGGATGATGGAAGAATCAGGAGGACCCATGCGCTTTCTTTTCTTGCTGAGCCTGGCCTTGAAAGTTTCCCTTTTCTCCAATAAAACTGACTCTTTTTCCTATGACTTAGCATTGTGGAATTTGTCTAAGACCCTGAGGATGGCTGATGGAAACTCAGACAACACCTACTTGCATGACTCCACTCTACAATTCTATGAGTATTTATTATCATTCACATGCAATTTGATAATGTAAGAAATTTTCTATAACAACTAGCAGTAGGGGTAACTTCAACTGTCAAGGGAACTGCACAAAGAACAAACAAATCATTTAATTTCAAGGTCTTATTGTGTATGTTTGGACAAAGGGCATTGGTACAGTGGTGACCAAGAAAGCTTCCCAAGGTCCCGTGGAAAGTAGTAGGTAAAATCCAGCTATTACCATACAAGGTCCTTGGGTTTACCCTTGTAGATCTATATATGTTTTTTTAAAGGCCTTGCACTGAAATTCACTTATGAAACTCGGAGCTTATATTTGAATTCTGCAAAATTCTATAGTATTTTATACTCAACAATCACACATTTCTTACCATCTTCATTTTCATCAAACACTGGTGGTTTGCTTGAAGTGTTGGCTCCCATGGTCGAGTCTGCTCAGACCTGGATCCTCCAGTTACATTATCCTGGCAGAAACACTCATCTTCATTCAAAAGAAGTCCAGAAGCCTTAGCTAGATATCTAGGAGGGGAAAACAAATGGTATCCTTTCAATATGGTGTACTCCAGGTACCCTGAGTACAGACTCTGGCTGAAATATTAACCTGATCTGTATCACAGCAGGGGAATTTTTTGTGCTTGAAAATGATAATTTCAGAAATAACAGACACCATCAAGCATCTGAGAGAACCCACTACATGGCCTCTTCAACAGCGGACCTGGACTTACAAAGAAGGAGGAAAGCAAAATATTTTTCTAAGTATGAAGACGAGTTTAAAACAAGGTCAGCAATCCTTTATTTAACAACTATAAAAAAAATACTATTTTATTGTGACTCTCCATATTTTTGAGAAAATATGTTAAACATTTTTTTTGATGTGCAATCAACAACTTTAATTTTTTTCAGTCCTAAAAATATATCCCCTCTCTCGTTCCTCCTACCCTGGAAGGTTCTACAATGTAAAAGGAACAAGGTCTGAGTCTGGGCTTTACCACACTAGCAAGTTGCTGAATTTCACTAAACATGTTTCTTTTTTTCTTTCTCTGAACTTGAAGATGATAATGGTCCTTACCTCAAAGGCAAATTAAATGTAATTTAATAAATTAAACTTAATGAGACAATATGTAAAGTATTTTCACAGCATAAGTGCTCAATAATTGTTGGTCACTCTGAAGCTCAAATTAAATGATGTATGTGAGAGCTAAAAAGCTCTAAAAAATGTACATTTATGACTTTGTTTATTTTAAACATAATTGTAAAGAATTTTACTTTCCCTGAAATTGGTAAGGAAAGGCAGCATCCAAAAGTCTCTTTCTAAAACTGACACTGATAATAGCTTTGGGCCAGTTATTTAACCTCTCATCTCTAAAATGGGAGAAACAACAGGGCCTTCCTCAGGAATCGTAAGCTTAGATGCCTACCAGAGCCAGGCAGAAATGCAAATTAGTGAACTGGACCAGGTGGAAGACAGTAGTGCCTGGTGGGGACATTGGTGACCTGGAAAATCCAGGCTCCATCTAAAAGATGTCATTGCTCTCAGATCTAAAAGATTGTTGCCAGGTAGAAACATGGGCCCAGGGGCCAGATCTTCAGATCTACCAAAAAAAAGGGTAAAGATCCAGATTTTATACAAAACAATATTTAAAAATTCATTTTAGCTCTATGGCCTGAGCAAATTTCACGCATGGGACAAATATGGCTCATGGGATATAGTTAATGAGACAATGTACGTAAGGCAACTAGCACAATGCCTGGCACATAATTTGCAAAGAATAAATGTTAGCGGGCCGGCCCCGTGGCTTAGTGGTTAAGCGCTCGCACTCCGCTGCTGGAGGCCCGGGGTTCAGATCCCCGGCACGCACCGTCGACACACTGCTTCCCCGGCTATGCTGAGGCCGCGTCCCACATACAGCAACTAGAAGGATGTGCAGCTATGACATACAACTATCTACTGGGGCTTTGGGGGGAAAATAAATAAATAAAATCTTTAAAAAAAAAAAGAATAAATGCTAGCTACTGCTATTTTAATAGGAGCAGTATGTTTTTATCGTGTGCTATTTTTTTAACTTGACACCTGTTGATTGATTTCCTCTTGGACTTTTTATACATGAAGGAAATACAGATTAGAGGCAGAATTGAAGAAAGTGTTTCAAGCGAACCTGGTCTAAGAATGAGTTATTGAAAATGAACTCGAGAAGCCCCTAAGCCCTAAGTCTAGAAGAAAAGTTCATTTTCTCATTAGGAAAATGTAAAGACTTCATTTGGAAGGCAGACTCATTAAGGAAATGCTACTTTTCATACTAAAAGCCAACTGCTGGCAAAGTGCCTTATGGACTTTAAAAAGAATCATTAAATGGAGAGCAAAGAAAGAGTCAGCAATTAGGAAGCAACCAATTAGATGGTATGGGAGAGAGCTGGGGAGGGGGCAGGTGGTAACAGGTGGCTGGAGGAAGCTCAGGGGGATTATTGAGATCAGGAACATACAAAGCACTCAACTGTATCTCCAGGCTAAAAAAACAAAGGGCTTTTAATTCCAGCGGAAAAGGGGATGAGAAAAAGCAAGTGGGATGCCCCAGTGTCTCACTGTAGGCTACGGAGAAGCAAATAGGGAGCACTGTGTGTTTTATTACTCCATTTAGAGTCCAGAATAAGTGAAGAATAGTATAAGGGCTGAACCACAGATGACATTAGAGAGGACTGGTCCTAAACAGAATATTGATTTTAAGGAATTGCAATTGTTAACACTGCAGACTGGGGCTACCTTCTCTTTTATTTTGTGCATAAAACCTCGGTACACATAGTTTTCACACCACACCCCAATCCTGTCCATCTTATATTTTTCTTCACATTTCAGACTTTTCTCAAGTAGCCCGTCTTCCTGCAACATAAAATGTACCAAGCATTGACCTTGCAAGTTGTCAAAGCAGAAAGAGAAAGAGAGAGGACTGTTATGACAATTTGCTACATTTCAGAGTTCCATTCTGATGGGTAAACAATTTTGTTCACCAAAGATTCAGTGATTTTTAGTGGGAGAAAATATGTAAACAGGGAACCACTGTTGTATATGTTTGGAGGAGGGGCAGGTGGACTGGAAAATTGGGTGGTGGCATCTCCATTGCACCTATCACCCAATCCAGTCTAGAAGTGTCTTTCTCTTTTTCTCCCCATGTGGATAACCAGATTTGATAACTTTCCCTTATATCCAGAAAGAAATCGAACTTTTTCTGGCAGGAAAATGTAGACACATGTTTTCCATTCTGCTGAATAGGGCCCAGAAGAGCTACAGGGCTCTCTTCTACCAAACCCCACACCCTTCCTGACCTCCTGGTACTAAGTCTGCAGTGTTACATAAGCATCATCTTGAGACATCAAGAGGATAGTTACCACCCATGGAAATGAACATCCTAAACGGAAAATACAAGAGAAAGAGCAGTGTGTCTTACAGGAACACAGGGAATTTTCAGATTCTACCTTGACCTAGCCAATACCAGATTATTAACTGCAGACTCGTTCTCCAATACCAACATTTGACCTTTGGCCTATACTTTTGGGGACTGTCAACAGGGGAGCTTTTCTAAGCAGCTAAGCCTCCCTAGGTAAAAAGGTGTCATCTTGAGGAATTCAAGAACCTATGTTGTAATGCAAGAAAGTTTCAACTTCTGATAGACCTGTTTCAGTTTCATGCCACAGCATATGCAGAGACATAACTTTTGTTTTTGTTTTTTTTTTAAATTTCAAAATTTTTATGGGGGAAAATCTGCTTAACATAGAATACACTGTTGCATTTTAAAGTATACAGTTCAGTGGCTTTTAGTACAATGATTTAGTCATGTGGCTATCACCACTATCTAATTCCAGAACATTTTCAACACCCCCAAACAAACCCATACTCATTCACACTCTATTTTCTCCTAACCCAAGCCCATGGAAACAACTCCTCTGTTTTCTCCCCCTATGGATTTGCCTATTCTGGACAGTTCAGTCAAATGGCATCATGCTATCTGTAGCCTTTGTGGATGGCTTCAGTGAGCACACATGTTTCAAGGTTCACCCATGGCCTAGCATGTGGCAGTACCTTATTCCTTTTTATGGCTCTATAATATCCTATATTATGAATAGGCCACATTAGGTTTATGCAGTCATAACTGGATATAAATTTGGGTTTGTTCCACTTTTGGACCATTGTGAACCATGTTGCTTTGAATGTCCATGGGCGAGTTTCCTCTTTTGGACATATCTACCATGGGCCTCTCCAGGTCTATAGTAATTCCAGGTTTAAGATTTTTTTTTTTTTTGGTATTAAATGTCAGCACTTTTGTGTGTGTGTGTGTTCTATTGTTTTTTTATTGATGTTTTAATAGTTTATAACATTGTGAAATTTTGGGTTGTACATTTTTGTTTGTCCATCACCATATATATGTCTCCCTTCACCCCTTGTGCCCATGCCCTACCCCCATTGCCCCTGGTAACCACAATACAGTTTTCTCTAGAGACATAACTTATTTTGTTTGCATTTGAAAAACAGAACTTCTTAAAGTGAGAAATATCTAGAAACATGGGAAAGAAAACATGAAAAACACCCAAGTTAACACCACTCTCAGTTATACTGTTTATATTTCGGCAACTTTGCTTCATCATTTTTTATATTAAAAATTATAGGTAAACGTTATTTCCACCTTAACCCTCATGCCAAATTAATTCCCCTTTTATACTTCTCAAAGACAGCCACAATCATGAATCTGGTATATATTTTACAGTCTACTTTCTACGATTTGACAACAAGAAGTGTGTTTTAAAATAAGTCGCCTAAACGGCATCATAGAGTAGGTATATTTTGCATCTTACTGGGATCATTTACCATTATACTTCTGCGATCTAGGCATGCTGATCTCTACAGCTCAGATTTCTGCTTTTTACATGCTGTATAGCAGTCCATGGTGCGAATGCACTACATTTTATTTATCTGTGTAAAAATGTTCCAATCTTTCAGCTTCGGGGGAAAAATCCTTGTGGCGTTGAAGCCAACCATCAAAAGCAGGTTTTGCTTGTTCAGAAGCTGGATAAGAGAAACAAGAAGAAAACCTCCCACACGTATCTCCACTCCGCAAATATGTATTGAAGTCCGTCCGTTTCTGGACCTGAGTCAATGAGAGGCTGGGGGACGAGGTGGGGTACCAAACAGCCGGGAAGCGAGGATTGGTCCCAGCTCTCTCTGGTTGTGGTGGGTTATCTTGACCACCTGCCTTGGTCTTATTTCTCTTCCCGTTTAACTTCCTAGCTTCCCAAGAGTGCCCTTAGTATGCAGGTTTATTTAAAAGAAAACATCTACACCACCACTCACCTGGATCTTGGTTCTCCCTTCACGCCTTGCAAGAAGCTCAGACTGGTGCTTCCGGTCGGGGAGCAGGGGCTAACACGGGAACTCCGAGAAATAAGAAGCAAGCAAGGAAAAGCACCTACCTGCCCGGGCGCACCGGGATCTGCGAGCGAGGGGCTGGGCTGGGCTTGGCGGGCACCTGCGGCTGCCGAGGGGTCCGAGCGCCGCCCCAGCGCGCAGCTCCTCCCGGGAGGGGCGGCTCCCTGCCGGGGCCGGGGCGGGGGCGGGGAGC